TCTGACAGAGAGCTACAGGTCCAAATAGTCCTTCCTGGGATGTAGGTGTATAGAGAGGTTATGTTGTGTCAGCAGCGAGGACCTTTATATCTGGGAATGAGTTGTTGAGAATGATTTGGATTTTTTCTGTTCTTCACTAATAATAAGATTTCTATAAACCACTCTGTGTTTTCACGTTTTGCTTGCTTATAACGAACACATTATAGTAATTTCTTTTCTGTCTGTCTTCACTTTTAGATTACAGAGCACAATGTCAAAGAGTCTATAAACGTTTGCCTCTTGCTGTGCCCTGGCTCTTCTCCTTTCCTGGAGCTGAAGTTACAGGTGGTTGTGAGTTGCCTGATATGGGTGCTGGGAGCCAAATTCTGGTCCTCTGGAAAAACACCAAGTGCTACTAACAGCTGAGTCATCTCTCCAGCCCCATGCCAGGGAATTTTTAAAAGTTAAGTCTTCAGGGAACAGGATGACATTTTCTAAACTATACAGAGCTCTATTCCTGTCAGAATGGGAGAACAAAGGGTGATTCTATGTGAAGGACTGTGTATTAATTACTTTTCTTGTGACAAAATACCTGACCAAAGCAACTTAAAGATGGAAGGGCTTATTTTGGTTCATAGTTTGGGGGGTACAGGCCATCATGGTGGGGAAATCACGGCAGCAGGAGCTTGAAGCAGCTCATCTTCCTAGCTCATTAACCCAATCAAGATAATCCCTCCCAGGCATGCCCTGAGTCTAACCTAGTCTAGATAACCCCTCATAGGTATATTTAGAGGCTTATTTCCCAGGTTATTCTAGATCCTGTCAAGTTGACAATATTAACCACAACAGACAGTAACCACCTTGTCTTCTTCATAATGCCAATAAGAAGCACAAGACTATGTTTCAAGAAAATCAATCAGTGTGAAAGGTGTCCTATAAAGTACAGAAGGAGGGCTCTCTTTCGACAGAGTTCCACCCAAGCTGAAACTCCAGACCTCTAGTGTTCTAGCCATGGTGGGACTCCTGCTAAGATCACCCAAACAATGTCTGAGATTTAGTAGGCACTTAGCCTTGTTGCCAATGGTGCCTTAATAGTGAGGAGACATTAAAACTTAGCCATGTGGGTCTGGAGAGACAGCTCAGCAGTTAAGAACACTGGTTGTTCTTGCAGAAGACCCAGATTCGAATCCCAGCACCCACATGACAGCTAACAACTGTCTGTAACTCCAGTCCCAGGGGATCCAACAGCCTGTTTTGACCTCCGCAAGCATTGCACCATATTGGTGCACTTACCTACATGCAGGCAGTACACGCATACACATAAAATAAAAATAATAAATAAAATTTAAAAAACCGTGTCCATGTAAACATATCTTGTCACCTTCTCAAACAATGGGAGCAAACACCCACTTTTGCTGCTGTATGGACACTTGTGAGCCAGGCTTGACCTGCTTCAGGCAAAGTATCTTCACTTGGCGTTTTTTCTTCATTTTATTAGGAGATGAGTTCTAGTGAGTCACTTGCCACTCACCATGTCTTTCTGGGACCTGTTTCATCACCCGATGGCTGAGGCTCCCTCCCTGCAGGCAGAGCTTCCAGCTTGCCCTCCAGGCCTCTGGGTGATGGGGCAGGAGGGTAGGGGACACTGCACATGGCCTTCACTAGACCCCAGTGGTAACAGTCAGTCCAGAGGAGAAAACGAGACTTTCTTTTCTTTGAGATCCAGGGCACAGATGGCAGTAATGAGGGGTGGCATTGTTCATAGCTGGACTCTCCACTAGGCCCCAACTTTGGAAGCATTTTAAGGGTTTAATTAGAATTAAGTGTGTTAAGGGACAGAGGTAATAAACATGCAGTGATACAAGGGCAAAGAGGAGACTGGGGATGGAGAGGTGACAATCTTGGGCAGTGCCTCTGAAGGGGAAGGCACTTCTGAGCTGAGGGAAGGAAACAGGGCAGGGGGCTTCTATAGAGAGTTCAAGTAGAGAGAGAGCCCAGCTCAGCTGAAGGCTCTGCTGTTGTCCCGTGTCCCTGTGGGCATCCAGAGGTAGGAGCTGAGGATGAGCTTTGTGCTGGTAGGAGTCCTGTGCCTACACAGCTCTGTTAGCCCTGTGCAATGCATGGACCTGTGCTAAGGATCAGAGCTTCAGCAACTTACCTGAGGTCACGCAAGGAGTAGGTGGACACCCACAGACTAAAGGTTTGACCCTGTGATCGTCTCAGACTTGACTGTTGCTTCCAAGGAGGTTTCTCTTTGCTCCTCCTTTGCCCCACAAGGTAGAATGACTGTCACTCAGAATGAGAAACATTGAGGTATTATTTGATTCGCTGACCCATGCACTTTGTAACCCCATACAACATTCTGCTGGGTGTTTGGAGTCACAAGGGAAGCAGCTGTAACTGTTTTGGCCCTAAGGAACAGGCTTAGGGATCACCTTCAGTCACAGAAAGTCCCTTCCCCAGATAGATTCCAGTTTTCCATGGGCTTGCTGCTAAAATAAAACCAGACTAATCTTCCAGGCATCTAGCGTGAACAGGTGGGGCTGCCTCCCCAGCGTTTGTCTGAGGTGTAAAGGATTGTATTTTATGGGCACAGCCTGGCCCTCTGGCTGCTGCATCTCTGTCCTGTGCCAGCTATGCAGTTCTTACTTCTCCTAATCCTCAGTCAATAGCCTCCTCACCTCACTGCTCCTGTTACCTGCCCCCTGAACTTGGCCTGCAAGGTTGGCCTTGATTTTGCATTTAAAGAACAAAGTGAACTTGGTTAGCACAGGCATTGTTCTAGATCCCCACCATGCCCCAGCCCTCTGGTGGTTCCCCTTCACCCCAGCACTCACTCACACTGAGGTCCCAGATAAGGCATATGACCTCCAACCACAGTATCTGTACTGTATAGAAAACTAACGACACTGTCATATAGAGTTGCTGTTTATAAAAGCAGATTTTACCCGGGGTTTTAGTCCTGGAACAGAAATGACCATGACTGTGACATTATAGTTACAAGAAAGACAGGAACAGAACATAGGAATACAGCAGTTCAGTCCCTGTCTCCCGCCCCTTTCTACAGGGTCCTTCCTATTTCCTGTTTCAGTTGACTCAAACAAGCTTCTGAACAGATAGTATGTCTTTGAATTTATTCATTTTGCATTAGAATTTATTCATTTTGCATTAGAAACCAGGACTGCCTTGAAAGAATCGGTGATAGCCACAGGTAATCATGTTTGAACACTTTTTTGTAGATGTTTGATTAGCATAACTAACTAATGGCCTTCATATGACCTATGGAAACCAACAATTTTTTTTGGCTCTCCAGTGTATATATTATTAT